TATATATGTATGAAAAAGAATTATACAAAATACAATATAGTATATTATACAACATCCAAACTGCCTTTTGCTTCCCACTCCAAACTCTTGGTAAAAAAAATATGGGGCTGGAGAGACAGTACAGTGGGTAAAGCGCTTGCTTTGCACGTGGTCAACCCAAGTTTAATCCCCAGCATCCCTTATGGTTCCCTGAGCACCACCAGGAATGATTCCTGAGTGCAGAGCTAGGAGGAACCTCTGAGTATCACTGGGAGTGGCCCAAAAACTAAATATATATATAAATATATATAAAATAAATATATATAAATATATATATAAATTATATATATAATTTTATAAGGGGGCCTCCCCTGTGGTGCTTTTGGGGCCTGGGAGCCACACCCAGTGATACTTAGCCTGGTAATGTGAACCAGACAGTTCAGTGATCAGGCTCAGCGGTGTAGTGCTGGGGGCCCCCACAACCACTCTTGTGAAGCTCTAGGGACATGTAGAGGTGAAATATGAACTCAGGGCCTTGCACACCACAAGCATATGCTCTTGTTACTTGAGCCACATCCCAGACCTGTAAAAACCTTTCAACTATGTAAAGCACATATAAGCGTGCTGTCTTGACCATTTTGTGCACTGTTTTGCAGTATGAAGCACATTCACTTGTTGTGTAAGCACTAGCCTCCTGCTTCAGAACCCTCTTCAGCCTTGTGGTACTGAAACTGTACTACCAAACACACACTCACACTTTTTCTCCGGCTCATGCAGCCACTGCTCTTCTTTCTGCTTCTATTCATTTGACTACCCTGGGTACCTCCTATAAATGGATCTTACAATACCTGTCTTTTGGTTACTGGCTTACATTTCTTAGCATTTGTCCTCAAGATACACGCATGTTGTAATGTGTATTAGTGTTTCCTCCCTTTTTAAGGTTGAGTAATATTACTCTCTGAGTGTGTATGTATGTGTGTGCGTTTGCCACATTTGGTTAAACATGCATCATTCATCTCTAAACAGACATGGGTTCCTTATGTCTTTTGGCTAGTGTGAGTAATATGTTATGAACAAGAATGTACAGAGTTCTTAGAGATCCAGATTTCAATTCTCTTGAAAGATATATATCCTGAGACAGCCCTACTGGATCACACAGCAGTTGTTCGTAATTTAGGGGAGCAATATTATACTATTCTATCAATGGCTGTCTCACTCCACATTTATATTTTCCTTTTACCAACAGTGCATGCGTGTTCTGGCTTTGAACGTAGTCATCCTGAGTGTAACAGGCTGCCCCATGTTTGGTGTCTCCTTAAAGATGAGCATCTTTTCACGTGTCTGTTGACCATTTTGTTTTCATTATGGACATGTCTATTCGAATCCCTTTGAAACTAGGGTTGTTAATGGTTGGGCTCACCACTCCAGCATCTTTTCATGTTCTTCACCCATATGGTTAGACCCCAGAGGCACGGCCGGGGCCTCTGTGTTCCCTTGGAGACATCTGAACACTTGCCTGCCATTTGCCTACCCATCTGCCACGAGCACCAGCTCCAGTCACTCTGGGTCCTCGTCCCCCAAGCACCAGCTGAAATGTCACTTCAGAGAAATTTTTGTGATCACCCGTATTTATTCATTCTCATGTCTCAGAAATGTCATGTCAAGGAAACAATAAACACTGCCCAGAACTTAACCAACACTTGCAGTTTGTTCATAGGATGATATCACTGATATGAGGTAGAGTAACTAGATGAGAGAATGCAATGGTGAGGATGCCCAGGTCATCGTTGGCCCTAGATATAAGGAAAGGAAGAAGAAGGAAAAACTAAAGTGAAGGGGAAGGGGAGAAGAGATAGATGAAAAACAATAGGGGCAGGAATCAAGGGGATTCGGGTACATCGGTGGCGTTAAGGAATGATAGAGCTAAATACCCAAATCACTGCGTCAACACCGAAATCATGAGACCCAAACTGTAATAACCAAACTTAAAAAGTGCCTGCAGAGATGGCAGGCTTGGGCTGGTGGGGGTTGGGGGGATGGGGAGGCGAGAGGAAGCCTGGGAACACTGTTGGAATGAAGTTGACACTGGTGGCAGGATTGGTGATGGAACCACTGTATGTCAAAAACCGAACTATAAATAAGGTTGTAACTCATGGGGCTTTAATAAAATTTGACAGCAGGGGTGGGGGGGTGGGGGGTGGAGCTTACAGTTTGTTTATATATTAGCTTGGGACTTGTTTACAAGGAACCTCCGGGCTATGAGGATAGCAGAGAAACTGCCTGCCATGTGCACTGCAGGAGCTCCGTTGCTCAGCACAGTAGCTGGCACCTTATCTGGCTCAGGATTCACTGAAGGAATGAATCACTCCTACAGGGGACCATCTGGGAAGAAGGCAAGCTGCTGTGACCCAGACTGGAATTTAGCCTCCAGAATCCAGGCTCAGTGCCACAGAAAATGTCATTTGTTTTCTTCTGTTGTTTACTGTTTTGTTGGGGAGCCTGTACTCAATAGCATGCAGGGCTTAACTCCTGACTCTGTGCTCAGGGGCCACTCCTGGTGGTATGTGCTGCTGGGGTCAGCCAAATGCAAGTCCTTATCCTTTGTACTCTCTCCAGTCCCAGGTCACAGAGGTTTAGAGACTCGTGATTTCCAGACTTCAATGCCTGACTTCAGTTCCTGATTCCACTGGAAGTTGCCCAGGAGAAACAGAGATGCCTCCTCAGCACCCGTCCAGCAGAGGTGGAAGCTGTGGCCGTCCTTCCCCTTCCACGCGTGCCTGAATGCATCAGCTCAGCTATAGTCCTGTGACATGCTCAGTCAGAGGACTGAGTTAGTATTCTTGAAATCATTTGGGTCCCATCAGTCTCCTTGGTACCAAATATGCCATTAAGAGTTGCTTTAGCAAGTCATCAGAAGATAAAAATGGGATAGTATAGCAGGGAGAACTCTTGCCTTGCATGTGGCTGACCCCGGTTCAATCCCCAGCACTGCTGGGTGTGGCCCCCCCCGCAAAAAAAAAGCAAAAAAACTCTTTCCCTGGGCAATAGTATTGAACTTTAGTATGAGTATATGAAGGTCTTCAATGATGGACTCCTAAAACTGACACAATACAGTGCTATTTCATCTTAGAATGAATTTTGCATACCACGGGATGCTAGAAAAATCAGATTTTTTATTTAAAAATAATTTCAAAGAATAATACCATCATGGAACAACCCAAGGACAGTTGAGGCAAACTCTCAGAGTTCAAAGGCGCATTCGCCCACCCAAGCTGGTCTGTATAAATACAAGAAGTTTATATGTGAGTGCAATGGAATGTACAGCGGCCCCAGAGGACCAAAGGGGAAAAAACGTGGGAAGAGAAAGAGGACCCTCTGAGGGACAGGCATGCCCCTGCTACCATGGACTCTCACCCCAGTAGTGCCTCCTGCCCCTCAGACCAGGGCACCACTGGAGATGAGGCTTGCCAGCACTTGGACAGGGCCACCCTTGGCCTGGGCTCAGCCTCAAGGCTCAGAGCGCGGAGGTTGGCTCCCCAGACGTCAGCAAGGACCAGGGGTGGTGGGGCAAGTCGGATGATTTCCCTGAAAACTGGGTGGAAAGTGAGGAAGGGGACTTCTGCGAGGATGCTGGGCATGCGTGCAGAGTGGCACTGAGACTGCTCTGGCTGACGACAGGCAGGATGGGGATGGGAGACCCACAGGCCAAGCTCCAAGCTCTACCCTGCAGCATCCTTGCCAGACTGCAGAGACGCGCAGGCTGGGCTCAGATAGCGCCACCTACTGTCAGGCTCCTAAGCATCATGCAGCCTCTCAGAGAGGACAGCCACGGCTGCATGAGTCATTTCCACCTGGAATGCTCTGGAATGTTCCTTGATCTGACGTAGGGTGGGGGCTGGGGCGGGGGGAGACGTGACTATTTGCGGCACCACCCACTCCCTCCCCAGTGTCTTTCCCTGCTAAATACCCAGCCTCCCTAATAAGCCCTTTCCAGAACCTTCCAAGGCACTGTCTTAGCAGAGGGGAGTCCCAGTGTGAGCAGGCCAGAATCCTGAGGCATAAGGAAGCTTTGGAGAGTAAAGAAGGCCTTGACAGAGAAGAAAAACACTCCATAGTGAAGCCACATCTGTCCCCTGCTTCCCGTGCCCTCTCCCTCTCATCCCAAGGTTTCTGAGTCCTTCAGCTGGGTCTCTGCAGGTAGCATGGCCATGGTCCTTCCCGTAGTTACCCTGAAGCACCATGCCCACTGCCGAGCCAGGCCTCCCCCTGCCCAGGGCATGTGTCTGAGGACACAGAGCAAGCCGCCGATTCGAGCCCCCGCTTCCCCCCTCCCAGGGCTGAGCACAAGCGCCCAGTGATCAAAGGCCCGCTCCACCCGGCCCAGCAGGGGCTGGCAGCTGAGGACACAGAAGGCCGCCCTGCAGGTGTGTCCTCCTCAGCCAGCACGGAGCCTGGGCCTGCCTGTCCGCAGGATCCTGATCACGAGCCCTTCTCGCCTGCTCTGGCTCACCTCCAGCCTTTCTGGGCACTGTACCACCTGCCCCCCGCCAAGAGAAGCCTGTGGGGGCCCCAGATCTGGGCATCCCAGGGGGCTCCAGAGCGGGCAGAGTGTGGAGAGTGCAGGGCCTGCGCAGGAGAGCTGGGTTTCTGGCCCCCATCCGGCCCCTGCAGTGAGCTGAGTGACCACGGGCAGCTGCGTTCCAGGCATCAAAGCGCCGGGCCCTGGGCCCCAGGGTGCCGCCCACCAGAACAGTTTCCAACAAACAAGTTCCACTTGGTTGCTTTTTTTTCCCTTCAAGTGGCTGCTGGGGCTCAGTGCACAGTATTCCTCACTGGCTTCCGCCAGGCCAGCTCCCTGTCTTCGTCCCCAGGCTGGGGGAGCATTGTAAACGAGTCACCTGTTGACAGCGGGGCAGAGGGGGGCCCAGAATCTCTCTCTGCTTGTCCCCAGCATGGCAGCATAAACCAGGGCATCACTGTGTAACCACCGTGCTAGGAGCATTCTTCTCAGAGGCCAGCTGGGGGTCCTGAGACTGTTCCCTCCGGAGGTGTCCTCAAAGCCCGGCAGGAGTCCTTAAGCTGAGCAGGGATGAAGGCTGACCCACTGTTACCTGCACACAGGAGAGAGGTCCTATCAGAGGGCCCCGAGAGTGGCAGGTGGGTCCTGCCACCAGTAAGCTGGTGGTCCCCCATGCATGAGTGGCAGGGGCAGGTCCTGATGCCCCAGCCCAGGTTTTCCTTGCTGACTGCCATCCAGCCCGCTCAGAGACAGGACTCAGTGCTGTCAGGGTGGTGAGCAGCCTGTCGGGTGTGGGAGGAGAAAGTATCACCTGTGCTCAGGGACCGGGCCATCCCAGCTGAGGGCGCAGAGCTGCTGTTCCAGTCGGGAGATGCGGAAGGCCAGGTAGGAGGAGGACACCACCAAGAAGCAGATCCTGGAGCAAAGGGTGGGGGAGGGGTGAGAGGGTGGGTCTCTCCTTCAGCCAGAGGGCATTTCAGAGCCTCCTCACTGCCAGGTGGGGAACAAATGACTCCTGCCACCAGAGAAACACCAGCATCTCCGGGCTCCTGTCCACACGCAGGCCTGGCCTACAGGCTCCCCAGAGGCCAGAGCAAATCTGAGGTTGGTCCCTGTGGTCCTGGGTCCTTCTGCTGAGCTCCCTTTCCTCTGATCAGTCCCTATGGTCTGATACCTCCTCTGGGAGGCCACTGGGATACCTGTGGGTGCTGAGAGTGGCCAAGGCCCAGTCAGCAGAGCTAGGGGCCGCCAATGAGAGGTGGGCAGCCAGGACCGGCTAGAACCTGCCTGAGAACAGGCAACAGTGCGGCAAGCTTCTGCCCATCACTGCCCGCCCCCAGCTCTCACACAGCCCCCCAGTCTTGCCAGTGCCACGCAGTCCTGCCCTGTCCAGCTCTTTCTTTCCCCAAAGCCTCTTCGCTTTCGCCTCCCACTGCAGGACCCGAACCCTGAGCTACGGGATCCGTACGGAGGAAACTGCAGGTGCTCTGTCTTTCTCCAGCCACCACCCGGGAGCCCAGGGATGCCTCAGCCCCGTCCCGATCCTGGGCCGTGCCATTCCCTGGCACCAGGGGTCCCCCTCCAGATATCCAAACGCCCACTGGCTCGGCCCCCACCACCAGTATGGCCACCTACAGCACGAAGAAGACCTTGAGGAGCCGGTAATCCCAGAGCCTCAGCTCCCCATCGCTCTTGCTCTCCTCCTCCGGCTTCTCCTCTGCACGGGCAGTGGCATCTGCAGGGGAGAGAACATGCAGGTGTGTGCCTGGCCCCCCTGTGCCTGCACACCCCCGCCCACCGTGCCTGCACACCCCCAAAGCTGAGTCTGCACCCCCGCCAAACTGCGTCTGCACTCCCGGCCTGCCTGGAGCAGGCACACCTTTCCCTCACCACCCCCCCTGCCTCCCCGCCCTCCCACCATTCTCCCAAGCTCTCCAGGCTCTGGGCTTTCCCTTGGAAGCAGGAAGGAAGGAACAGCTCCAGGAAGCACAAACCCATCAGGACCCCACTCAGCAGCAGCAGGTGGGTGGGAAAGCCGAGGGCGGACACAGTGGCCCAGAGCAGCCCTTCAACTCACCAGGCCTGGGGGGCTTCCTGGAGGGGAAGAAACTTTCTGCAGAGTCCAGGGGGGTGGACGGGACACTAGGGATGTGGTCTGGGAGGGACAGGGACCTGGTGGCCGGACACACTCTCCTCCACTTCATCTCAGGAATGAGGACTTCCTGTCGAGGCAGCAGAAGGGTCCAGGGCTTGCGTGTGCCCGCGGGTGGCCGGCACCACCACAGGGGCGTCACCCGCAGGGGAACAGGTACCAGGGAGCAGAACGTTGCCGGAGCAACCACAGGCCTGCAGCTGCCCCCAAGCTGTGACTCACCCCGGAAAGTGCATCTTTGAAGAGAGCCAGCACCGCAATCCGCTCACCCAGGAACGGGCACTTGCCCAAACCCCACGAGGGACAGCGCCTGGTTTCCTCCGGCCAGGGTGCCCACCCCTTGGCGCCTCCCTCTGCCAGCCAAGCTCTGAAAACATGCAGGCTTCGCCTTCTCCCTGCCTGGGCACTGTGCCTCATCCAGGGTTCACCCACTGCTTCATGGTCGGTGGGAGGCACTTCAAATTCCCGGGGGTCACGTTCATCCCACCCCAGCTCCGGATGCTCAGTCCTGTCAGTGCGGAGCTGGCGGCTCAGGGAAACTGCAGGCCTTGCGCAGTCAGGAAGTGAGACTGTCCAGTCCCACAGAGACCCTGGGGCTCTCATGGGGACATCTCTGTCCCCTCCTGGACCCTGCTATATAGGGCCGCTGGTGTATCCATATGCATGGGGTGGACCAACGCAGGCAGTGTCTTAAATCTGGACGTTCGTTTGCGTGAACAGGTCAGCAGGGTGGCTGGGCCCGGGGTGTGGCAGGTGTAGAGGCCCCAGAGCCCGGGGGCCGTTGGCATTGCGGTCAGGCACTGGCCCTGGCCCTTACCAGAGACGCGCACTCAGGTTCCTCAGGGAACTCTCTGACGCTCAGACTCTTCTTGCTGGAAGGCTGCGGAGGCAGGAAAACTGGGTCACCCCGGTCACCTGCCCACCTCTGACAGCCCCGGCCAGGTGCGGGCGGCAGCGAGAGAATGTCACCCCCAGATAACCCACAGTAGGTCCGACAGAGCCTCATGCTGAGTCTGCCCACCGGGTGCTGACCCTCTGCCCCATACCTGGAGGTGCGTGCAGATCCGCCTCAGCGTGTCAAAGACGCTGTCCCGGGACAGCAGTGACACAAACACGTACTGGGGCACGGAAAGAAAGCGGAGTCAGCTGAGGACTGGGGGGCGGTGCGGGGGTGGGGGGAGAGCAAGGGAGCGCAGCCCCCACGGACCTTCTGGCTGGTGTTGGTGGTGATGGCCAGGCCGTTGGGCAGGAGACGAGCCATCTTGTGCTTTTTGACCATCTGCACGGACACCACGGGAATGGCCACCTGAGTAGGGGACAGGGGGGGAGGGGACAAGTCTCAGATCTTGCCCCCAAGGAAGACCCCTTTGCTTGCCTGTATGGGTCACGGCACCTGGCAGCCCTGAGTCGAACCAGTACTGCCTCGGAGAGAAAGGGACCTTCACACGACACCTCCTATAGTGAGAACCCCACCGTGCACCCGTGCTGGTTTCCACTGCTGTATCCCGGCAGGTGGCTGTGGTGAGTCCTGTGTGGGGCAGAGGTGATCCCTGCACTGGCTTCCCCGATGGTGACCCCCCCCCCCCACACACACACACTCGGCTCCTCAAGGCATCACAGAGAAGGTGACATTCAGGCCACCTCATGCCAGGAGAGGGGTCTGGATTGGGGCAGAACCACTTTCCTGGACCCTGGCAAAGATGCCTTGGCCTCAGGAAGCACGGGGACAGCTGTGACCTGCGTGGGCTGAGGGCTGTCCCTGCCACTTGCCACTACCTTGATATCTTTGCCAAAGAGGCTGGCGTGGAAGCAGAGCCAGTTGGAGGAGATGTAGAGCCGGCCCTGGAGAAGCAGGTCCCTCTGGAGGGCACAGGAGCACACTGGCAGGGGTGGGAGAGAGCAGGGCATGGGCAAGGGCAGTCCAGCAGCCCCAGGGCCCTTGCACACCCTCAGGAGCCTGGAGTCCAGCCAGGCAGTCTCCAAAACCACTACCCAGTCCTGGGTCCAGCTCCCCACAGGCCTTTCCTAGGAAGCCTGACAGCGTCCCCACCCTCACCGCAAGACGTTTTCTATTTCACCAATGCAGATCAGTGCAAGTCAGTGCAGGCTTCTACCTCAGTATCCCCAAAGCTGTGGGACTCGTTCCCTGAGGCAGAACCACTGGGCCCTGCTTGCCCTGCACCCAGATTGTGCAAAATGTTCCTACTGAGGCCAGAGGCCTGCCTGGAGGAAGAGCCCCTGATAAGGGCTGAGCTCGAGGGAAAAGGGGATGCCCAGAGGGTTCCCACCTGCTTCCCCATCCAGCCCTGGTGCTTTCACAAGCCCGAAAAAAGCAAATACACCGGGCCCTTGCCAAGAACAGCCTAAGCTGTGTCCCAGAGGGGACGGGAGCAGGTTGGGGCCCAGGAACTTAGAGGAGCCCCCACAGTCATCCCGCAGGGACACAGCTTACCTTTGAGGACCATCTCCTCTGAGGGGACGTCCTTGAACAGCTTGTGGTACTGCTGGTTGTATTTACTCAGGAGTGTCTGAAACGCACGGGGTGTGTCTCAGGAGAGGGGGGGGCAGACACCACGGGGTGCCAGGGGAGCTGCTCTGGCCACAGACTGGGAGAGAGGCCAGGCCACAGCACAGGTAAGCACCCAGCGGGGTGGAGGCTGAGGCCCAGCACTGCCTGTCTCCTGTGTTGCCCGGTGCCTGGAGATTAGAGGCCAGCCACGTCCGGGAGGGGACACCCTGTTGGGTTTCCTGGCGCCAGGCCCCCCAGGCCCTCCCCCAGAGCCGTCCCACACTTACCCCCTCCCTGCCACACTTCTTTATCTCTTCGCCCTTCAGGCCCTCTGGCCAGTGCGGACTGCAAAGGAGACATTCCATTCCAGACATGGGGACCTTTGAGGCCGCCCCGCGGGCTCCATGCCAGGGCCGCCCTGGCTGCCAGCCAGAAGCTAGGGGCAGAGGCTTCAGACTGAGGATCCTTGGCAAGGGGGATCATGATCCAGCAAGCGCGTGGAGGGCAGGGCACCTCCGGATGCCAGGAAGAGTGGCCAAGCGTCCCCCGACTCCCGGGATGGCTGTGTGCAGGGCACCCACCCCAGAGCACTGTCTCCTGTTGATGCTTTGGGGGGCCAGGCCTGGGTGTGAGCAAGTCGCTCTAGGCGGTGTCTCAGCCCAAGGGATTGGCAGAGGCACCGTGGGCGGGATAAATGAGCAGGAGGGACTGGGGGGACTGGAGGGGCCGCCGGGGAAGGCAGAGGGAGGTGTCAGCTCATAGTTCCAGGCCCACAACCCACAGGACTGGCCACCTCGGCTGCCTCCTGCCTAGGGCTGTGACTGGACAGTGGCTGGGGGGAGGGCGGGAGGCTGGTTGGCCTCAGGACAGGTGGGCAGGGAGGGGAAGGGAACCCAAAGAGCCAGGAGACTTCCGGGTCCCAGTGCAGAGTAGAAGAGGCCCTGGGCAGCCCCCTGAGGAGTCCTCACCCAGACCCCTTTCTAGCAGGACACCTCCTGAGGCTTCCCACACCCATCATTGTAGCTGAAAGGTGAGGCTTGGGCAGGAGCGGGGGTGGGGGGGTGGGGAGGGCAAGCAGGGGGGCAAAGGGTCTCACCTTGAGTCTGGGGACTCTGGAACCCTGTCTGGTTTCTCTGGGCAGGGCTCGGGGCTCTTCAGAGACGCCGTCTTCCCATGCATCTGGTGGGTGCTGAAGACAAACAGGCCCCATGGGGAAACAGGGCCTCAGGGCACCCCCCTCCCCAGTCATGTTAGCACGCCCCCCCCACTCCTAACACAGACTCCACTCTTCTGAGAGGCAGTTTTCAGGCTGAAAGACACAGGGGAGCAGGCCAAGCAAAGCCTGTCCCCTGCCACGTCCTAAACACCTTGGGCTCCTCCGGGCAGGCAGGAAAGCGCCCCTCATGCCCAGTGCCAGGAAGCTGTTAGGCTGCGGGGTTCTGGGCCTCACAGCCTCTGGCCGCACCCTGGAAAGGCTGCAGGGGAGGACTCAGGTCTACCCTGGGCCTGGGCAGCGAGTGTAGACAACCAAGTTCTGGGCAGGAGGGCTGGCGCGGGGCCTCCACTGCTGAGGAATGCTGCAGCTGTGGCGTGCGCTTGACCCCGTCAACCGCGGGTGAGCAGCCAACAATGGGGCACTCGGCAGTCCTGCTCCCAAAACACCTCAAAAATGCCCCGGCGCGGGCGGGGGTGGGGGGTGGGTGGGGTGGGACTGGAGGGATAGCACAGCAGGTAGGGCGTTCCTCTTGCACACAGCAGATCTGATTCCATCTCTGGCACCACATACTTTTGCTTTTTGGGTCACACTCGGCGATGCTCAGGGGTTACTCCTGGCTCTGCACTCAGGAATTACCCTGGCGGTGGTCAGGGGACCAGATGGTCCCGCAGCCTAACAGCTTCCTGGCACTGGGCATGAGGGGCACTGCTTTCCCATCTGCCTGGAGGAGCCCGAGGTGTTTAGGACATGGCAGGCTTGTACTCTATCACTGGCCCAAGATCTGTAGAAATTCTTGATTTAGAATATCAATCTTTACTTTCCTAGTTTGTTACTTGCCGGGCACTATCTGCTAGTATTGCTGTGCTTGTTGTACTTGTGTTTAATTTGGGTAGGGGAATCGCCTACTCCTGGCTCTGTGCTCAGGAATCTCTCCTGGTGGCACTTGAGGATCCACATGCAGAGCCAAGGATGGAACTTGGGTGTGCTGAATGCAAAGCAAGTGTCTTGTCCACTGTCCTATCTCCCTGGTCCCTTGATTTAATTCTGGAGTGGTAAAGTCCCCTCAGCAAAGCCTGGCAAGCTCGCCGTGGTGTATTCGATGCGCCAAACACAGTAACAAGTCTCACAATGGAGATGTTACTGGGCCCGCTCGAGCAAATCGATGAACAACGGGAGGACAGTGCAGTGCTACAGTGGCGTCCCCTCACCTCCTCTTCCATCTACTACTTTCTTTGGTGCTTTTCAATCATACAGGCTCCCAGGAGTCACATGTATGGCTCAAAAGCAAACCAGGGGTCCATCAAGAGAGCAGAGACCAAACAGGATTCTGGGAGAGCACACGGGGTGATGGTTTCAAGGGCAGTGGAGAGAGTGACTGGCACTGTCAGGGCACACTCAGAGCCCAGACAGGAGGGGCAGCAACCCCCTAGAAAAAAGGAGACTGGGAGCTGGGGAGACAGCACAAGGTTGAATGTACTTGCATTGCATGAGGCCAATCTTGGCTCCAGTCTGGCACCCCATAAGGTCCCAGGAGTAAGCACAGAGCCGGGAGTAGGTCTCGCACATGCTGGCTGTAGCCCAAAATTAAAAAGAAAAAGGGAGACTGAGTCTGAGTCCTCAATCCCTGGCACCCCATATGGTCCCTCCAGGCCAAAACACACTGCCTTCAAAATGAGCTTCCATTCAGACTCCCTGCTAATGCATCTCATCTCCTGAGGGGTGTGTGTGTGTGTGTGTGTGTGTGTGTGTGTGTGTGTGTTGTTTTTTTTTTCTATTGGAGTTACGCCACAGTGGTCAGGGGTCACTTCTGGCAGTGCTTCAGGGACCACATGTGGTGCTGGGGATGGAACCCCTGTAGTGTGAAGATGAGTAAAAACAAAGAAATAGGAGCAACACCAGATGCAGAGTTTTGGGTAGCACAGCTGCCATGCATTCGCCCAGCCATCAGGCTGGGAAGGTCCAGGGATCAACGCTGTCTTGCACAGAGACCATGAAGGAAGCGCAAAGGGGCCAGGGGTGCAGCTCCAGTGGTAGAGCATGCGGCGAGCAGTGTGAGGCCCTGGGTTCCATGACCCCCTGAGCACCTCCCTACATAGGCCTGGTGGTCCTTGAGTACCTCCAGGGCCTGAGCTAGGAACAGCCCCTGAAAAATTAATAAAAGTGGGGGGGGAGCAGAGTGATAGTAAAGCAGGTAATACACTTGCTTGGCCAACCTGAGTTCCATCCCCAACACCCCACATGGTCTCCTGAACACCTCAGGAGTGATCCCTTGAGCACAGAGCCAGGAGTAAGCTCTGAGCACTGTGGGGTATGGCTCAAAAAAGGGAGGGTCGAGATATAGGACAGGGCTTAAGGCACTTGCCTTGCACACATTACACCCTGATTCAAATGCTCTGCACTGCATACAGTCCCCAGAGCACTACGAGGAGTCCTGAGCACAGAGCAGGAATAGCCCCTGAGCACTGCTTGGTGTCACCCCAAAACAAACCCCCCCTTTTTTTTTGCTTTTTGGGTCACACTCGGCGATGCTCAGGGGTTAATCCTGGCTCTGCACTCAGGAATTACCCCTGGCGGTGGTCAGGGGACCATATGGGATGCTGGGAATTGAATCCAGGTCGGCGCATGCAAGGCAAATGCCATGCCCATTGTGCTATTGCTCCAGCCCCCCAACCTCCATTTCTTTTTTTAACAGACTAATGCTGGTGTGTAGCACTGGAAGTTTGCAGCTAGATGTGAATTAATTAACATAAATCTAGCAGGGCTGGGAGGTGGAGGACATCTGAAGTTTCTGCCACCAAGAGGGTTGAGGTGAGTGGACTCTCCGCTCTGCAGAGCCCATCCTGGGCAGGAAGCCTGGACAGGGGACACAGGGCCCGCCTGGGCTGGCGCCTCCGACCTCACAGGAACCTGGGTCACTGTACACTCCGTCATTCCTCTGGTGGATCCTTCCTGAGTGGCCACACTGTGGCCCAGCCTGGGGCTACTGGAGGGGCAGGACGAGCAGCTGGCCCTGGAGATGCTGGAAGGGGACTGTCACGAGAGGGGAGGAGCGGGGAGAGGGGCAGTGAGCAGGGACTGGGGGACTCAGAGTCACCTCACCCCTTTCGGACTCAATGGCCGAGGACAGGCCTGACAGTAGCTCTCTGCTCTGAGCTGCGTCCCTGGGTCCCGAGGACTCACCTAGAGAAACTCCCAAATCTGTGCTTGAACCTCAGGGCTGCCACACACACACACACACACACACACACACACACACACACACGCACGCACACACACACACACACACACACACACAAAGAACTTGACTCTGTGTCTAGACAGAACTGTCCAGTGTGCCCACAAATGCTTCCTCTGGGCACCCAGCAGCCCTGAGAGGCCCCAGACCAGCATCCTCAGCTCATTCTTCTCTCTCCCCGCAACCCCCTCCACCCCATGCATCCACTCAAGCTCCAAGTCCATGGGACTGGCCACTGCTGGGCCCACTGTGTCCATTCTGGCTCAGGGTGCGAGGCCAGACTACCGTCAGCCCGTCCCTGAAGCTGGGAGCAGCTTCACCCTAACTTCCTCACCAGAGTGCCTGGGCCCAGAATTCTCCCCAGATCTCCCTCTCCAAAATTCCCTCCCAGACTTCTCCACCTGGGCCATTCCCAGTCATCTTTCACACTGAAGTCCAAATGTCACCTCCTCTATGATGCCTTCACTGATTTCTCCCCACCTCCATACACACCCCACCCCCTCCTCTGGGGTCCCTGCTCCTGTCTTATGCTGCTGCCCCCGCATTTACCGTATCAGGTGGTACATATCTGTTTACACATCTGTCTTTCCTGCACCCCAGGGGTATATCTTAGACTTGTGTCTCCCTAGGACACAACAGTCCCCCTGAGTTTGCTAAATGAATAAGTGCAAGAGCCAGTAAAAGAGGAAGGGGGTGCAGAGTAGGGGGGAGTCAGAGAAGGGGCGCCAAGACGACTGCTGTCCAGCAGGAAGGGGAGCAGATGGGGACGGAAGCTGATGAGGGACACGCAGGTGGGCCTTTCCTCTGGAGCCCAGCTGCCCGGCAGACAGAGCACCGGGGGCACTGGAACCCTCTGACTGACCACAGGGGCACTAGGGTGGAGGTCAGATGTGACACTGAAGAGGACAGAATGGCCCAGACATGATGGCCGGGTGTCAGGTGGAAGCGCCGACTGCCCTCCCGCCCCTCACCTCCACCGCAGCCTTCTCTGGGGTCCCCCTCTGGCTCCCCAGTCTCCAGCCCACACCTGCACTTCCTGGCCACAGGCTGAGCCTCCAGGCATGGGCAGAGGCAGAAAGTGAAGCTGGGCCCTGAAGTCTGAGGTGGAGTCTTGTGTTCAGGGGTGCGTTGTCCTGAGCATCACCCAGGAAGGTACCCCCACCTCTACTCAGAGACAGCCCAGGCTGACTCCTCCATGTGGTCCTTGGGAACTCGCAAGCATCCTGTAGGCCCTGTGAGCTCTGCTCAAGGCCAGCACCACCCTCTCCTGAAGATGGACATGATAGGGGGCCCCAGAGAGAGCCACGCTTCCTCTTCACACACAAAACACCTCTTGGCGGCAGCTGCCCCCTCAGCCTCACCCGTCCGCCCAGAGGGGTTAAACCAAGAAACCAGAAAAATAGCCCAGCGGGGCAAGGAGCTGAGGTGTCCTGGAAGGAAGGCCAGCAGTGGGACCTGGCTGGGCCCCCTCTTTCCAGCAGCTGCTCTGAACTCTCCCAGCTCCCTCCACCCCAAACCCTGCACAAAGCTCACCCCCACTTGGCAGAGAAATGAGCCCCTGGTCACACAAACCACAGCCTGACGGATGCACACTGGAATCGTTTGTAAGGGTCGGGGGATGGGGCTTGGTGGTAGCATACTGCTTTGCATGTATTAATTTGGAGGATTGATCTCTGCCCCCCCAAACAATGAGTCATCTTTAATGTTTTTTTGAGGGGGCCACACCCGGTGGTGCGCA